AACATGTGTTACATATTTTGCGATAAATAAAATATTTGTAGGGTTAATTAGAAATGCTTCTTTTCATTTTATTATTGTTGTTATTGTTCCGAACAATGCCACACACAAAAAAAACCGGAAAATTTAGAATTGACGAAAATTCAATTTTTTGGTATTTTGTCCAAAAAATTCCCCAAACTATCGGAATGTTTAGATTTTCATAAAATCAACTCGACATAGTTGCATAACAATTATATGAAAGTTTCAACGAATTTTGCTGGTTAATTGCGAAAGTGTGGAGCCACCTTAAGTTCGTATGTCGTATCAAGTATGGCAGGAAAGGTATTTTTGTTAACGTGACTGACTGCCCTGTCTTGATATGGGATCAGTACGTCAGGAAATACAAACGTGGCCACTTGATTGACCATCTAGATATGGGATTTGTCGCACAGAAAATATATTCTCGCTCACTGCAACGGATGACGACCAGTTAACAACACTAATAACGGAACATTTTCAAACGTTACTAAATTTCCCTTTTATTATCTATCTAAAAAGAAATCATGATATTTTCATTTGGTGAATATATTCAAACCACAAACCTTTTACGAATCTACGATGACTAACTTCTGACTTTCATTTGGAACATTTGCCTTTGTCCTACTTATGCAAAAAAAATATATATAAAAAAAACGTACATTGGCATATATTCTCTTGAAGTCTGACATTACTCGCCGTACTTTCTAAATCCAGGGCAATATTTGACCTGTCTTGCACGAACTACGAGATAAGACAAACGAATTTAAGTCAAGGACCCAAGCCTGGTAAACAGGCACTGCGCATGCTGGTCGAGCTATTTACTTATGCAAAGCCATTATATTTTCTTATGACATATTTGAGAAAGTTTGAACACAATCGCAAAGGCAAGTACTGTTTCGTGTATAATTATATCGGTGGTTTTTTTGAAGATAGTAACATATGCACCAATATGTATTTATATAAGCGATAGGCAGTTAATACAACTATATGAACGTTCATCATTTATATTATTTTTCCTATGCTCTGTCGTCAAATTGATGAAATTACCATCACGTTAATATTATAATTCTAATGTTTAAACTGTTTGTTGTACCTACAGCGGTTTCCTTGTCAATATGAGACCGTGTCTCCTTGCAGTAGTACTGCCTATCCTTATCAGTATTAGAGGTAAGTCAAACAAATGTTCCGCTTTAATTTCTTGTTATAAAAATAAACTTTACGAAAACTGTTTTTTTCAACTTATACCGATGTCTTTTGCCCTGATGTTAGCGTGCGGGAGAAAACCCATGTGGTCGGGCTAGTGACCCCATACCTTTTAAAATATTAACGAGAACAAACGAACAAAAGGGCATTGTCTTCGGCTGGATAAGCACTTGGGACAATCCGAATGATTTTATAATCATGAACTTGACAATTATGAACTTATTCACTGCCGGGGCGTCAGCCTAGAGAATGACAATACATATGATCTGGATATATAGGCTTTTGCCGGCGTCCAGTATTATTATATTATTATTATATTATTGATATATTATTATTATGATATATTTTCACGTCCGGTCGGGGAATCGCCCTTATTTCTTATTCTTTAAGTCAGTGACGAAATACCCTGAATGGAAAAATTAAACAAGCCTGCTAAGGACAATGATAACTAGATATGCAATAATAGTTTGTTAGATTGAAGATGGTTAGTGGTTACACTAATTGCCATTTCCTTTTCCTACTCACATTCCAATCCTCATATCATCGGAAAAGGCCGGGTACCAGCAAGCTGATACTGGCCAAGGGTTCATATTAGATTGGGAATGGAAATCGTCATATTGGAAATTAGAAATCATGGCATACAAAAAGCTGTTAAGTTTTTTTTTTCTTCTATATAACCCATATTCTACTTAAAAACAAAATATAATGTAGCCATAGCCAAATCTGCCCGGAAAAAAATATGGCGTGTGTTGAACCAAAAAAGGGTCGATCCGGAATATGGTCTTTACGCATCAAACGGTATCGCACATGCAAAACATTTTATATGATTTACAAGAATATAATTAAATTGTTTTGGTCATTTTCCCAATTTTTAAAAATGATCTGTAGTTTCCATAAATATTCTTAATCATTTCAAGTTAAAAAAGTTAAGCGTCAATGAAACAAAGAACAATTTTGTTCATAGCATGATATTACCGGAAGCAGTTTCCATAACGAGATTATTACACAGATGCAGGTCAATTGCTTACGAGTGAATTCGGTCTACGCCTAAACATTGTGATGCGTTCTTGTTTTTCAATAGTAATCTCTCATCAAATCAGATTGCTCCCTTACTTGTACGTCTGACAAATCAGCCGGATAGGAATTTGTAAATAATCAGAACAAAAAGACGTATTTCTATATTTCTATTTAGACACGTTAAACGCGTAACGACAAGGAAAGTATGGTAATAATGCGTTGACAAAGGAAGTTAGTAGGACCCACATAGTTTGGTTCTGTTTTAGGCTGCGCGACCAAAGATTACTTGCGGGTATGTTACCATACCAACTGGTCTCAATATCGGCCTGGGCAGGGAAAGTTCTTGCCGGAGGACATTCCATATGATTTATGTACCCACATTGTATATGCCTTCGCCAAGGTTTACAACCACGATCTGCTGGCCTACGAGTGGAATGATGACTCCACCGATTGGATGGAAGGTAGGTTTGGTTCTTTGGTTTGGTTTTATTTTGTTTAACGTCCTATTAACAGCTAAGGTTTTTTAAAGACGTGCCTCCATGTGTGTAGTACATGTATGTGCGTACTTGTGTGTATGTCACATGGGGAAGGGTGTGTTAATGTATTTGTCTCCATACGATTGCGCGGATCTGATGCCAAAATTACAGTGCTAAATACTAAAATACCATCCTGAAAGCACCCGACAAATTACAACGGGCAGGGAATAAAAACGACATTTTTAATGCCTTTGGTATGTCTGACTCTGGGGATAGAACCCATTGCCTATCCCAGTTAAGTGAACGCTTAAACTGAGTGAGATATTGTCAAGAAAAGCCTTAGGATCCCAAATTTTGCAATGTGGGCAGCACCCTTAGCAAAAGCCACAGAAGAAAGTGCCAGATTCTGGATGGGGTCCCACACAAGTGTTGTAGTCGGATACAGCAGGGGTATTCTTTCCCCGAAACCTGCAGGTGAGTGGAAGGTAAGTAGGAGACGTGTAACTACAAAATATAAAACAAAACATATAAGGATTGACCGGCATACGGTAGTATGAACGCAGTTTACAAGAACATATTCTATGGTGCTCGTTAGCGCTAATAAAATATCGGTCCAGTGAAACTACAACGATATATGAGTAGCTTTTAAAGTTTTTATTAAGTGATACGATTAGCCCTTCGAACATTTTGATTAAGTTATAACGTTTGTCATGAACGCGCATTATCACTCTGCTCATGGAGTGACATGGTCGAATGTGTCAGAACGAAGCCGCCATTGTTTACGCTACCGTCAAAGAAATTTGAATCTTTTGTTTACCGATGTATGAATTAATTAACTGCGATGTTAATTGACGTGGTTGTATTATATTGTCATGAAGTGAGTTTTAGGGGTCAGTAAAAACACTTCTAACATGGGGAAACTTTGAGATATGGGATGGACATTATGTTTAACTAAGCAAAGACTGAAAGTTTTCCAATTATACATTTTACTTCCACTCTCCAGTTCCAATTACTATAAAAGGTGCATAGATGGTCAGCTAGAAAAGGAATTTAATCGAAAGCTAGGGTCATGAAACTGACAAATAAACTAGCAAGCAGGCCGGACGGTCATCACGTTCTGTCCTGGTGTAAACACGTGACATAAACTAGATAGTGTTTCTACTTTGTTCTCAAGGTGCTCGCAAAGTTGCACCAATATACTGCCCACTTTTACTATGCAAGACCATTTTATTTTTTTTTATTTTTCAAAATATTGATAATTTTATTGTTTGTGCAAATTACAAACTCAATTATGCCGTTTAAAGTAGTTTTTTTTCGATTTAGTTGTTTTATATGATGAATTATAAAAAAATAAACTCTCATTTATGTGGTGAAATGCTCTTACCTTACAGGGATGTACGAAAGAACTATGGCTGTGAGGCAGCAGAACCCCAGCGTCAAAGTTTTGCTTGCCATAGGAGGTTGGAACCATGGTACAGAAGAGTTCGTCAGAACTGTTGCGACGGAAAGCAACATGCGTATGTTTGCGAATAACTCAATCTCATTTATGAGAAAACGAAACTTCGATGGCCTTGACCTTGACTGGGAGTACCCGGGGTCACGTGGAAGTCCGCCAGAAGATAAACAGCGTTTTACGTCATTAGCTAGGGTAAGAAATATTTTTCTATTTTGTACATGATACATTCAAGAGTGAACGTTATTTTTTCATCATACATTCCAGAGAGAAGACTACCTAATGTATTTGGCAATTCTAAGCATTCTTCACGGTGTATCTAAAAAATATATTAATTACTTTTGTTTGCTGAATTGGTAGATTTTGAAAGAAGAATTTGACAAGGAGGCAAGTTCTTCAGGAAAGGAACCTTTCATGCTCACTGCTGCGGTTGCTGCTGGTAAAAACACAACAGAAAATGGATATGAAATTGATCAAATCGCTATGTAAGTTTTTAAAACATACATGCACCATTAATCAGTGAAACGGTCTTCTCTATCATGCAATTGCAATTTTCAATAAGAAAACATGATACTGTTGGAATCTTGATGACTATTTACCCTTGCTTTTATCGACAGTTATCTGGACTACATCTTCCTGATGGCCTACGATCTTCAAGGGGCATGGGATGATTATATCGGGCACCACAGCCCGCTCTACTCTCGGGCTGGAGAGACAGACGACCGTTTGCTCCTTAATCAGGTAGGGTTTGCCTTACTCATAAAATGGTAGGGTTTGTTATGGTAACGTTCCGTATCCAAAACTTTGCGTATTTCTTGTTAGCTTGGTTGATAGGGTTTAGCGCCATATCAACATCTAATTTCATGCTAAAATATATCTCAACGTGTGAAAGTATCCTTTGTTTTTATAATGGCTGGATTGGCATATCAATGTAAAGTTATCGTACTCACAACGCTACGGGTGCATATATTTACATTTACCTACTGGTTACATAGTCCTAAATAACTGACTTTTAACCTCCTCCTTAATGTGTTTAATAGGGCGGATATAGTCAGAAGATCTTTCAGAGGGTATCTCTGAAAAAGAATTGCGCGCCAGGTTTGTTGCACATTATACATGAATAATAATGTCTGTTAGATTCATTTTAGACTGTTCATAAGTAAACACGGTAGGTAATTTCGCCACGCAGGACGTACTGTTCTGAAGATTTCGCGTTGCAGGAACTTCAGGGTTTTCGTAGCGGGACGAAACATGATGCTTCGAAGGGATGGTGCCTCTTTGTATCTGTAAATTTATTTACAACACTATAGTTAAGAAAAGGCAAATGAAATGAAAAATGGTCATTCTTAACGGTGAGGACGATCTTCTTGACCAAAAGAACTCTTTTATCTTGATTTTTCTTCCGGCAATAGAAAATAATATACTTTTGCTCCCACATCGCTATCATTTATGTTATTTCTTTAAACAATAGACATTCTCTGTCATATCGCATTGAACGATTGCAGTTTATTACTATTCAAACTTGTGACATGGTGTGAAACCAATCAAAGTCGCGGAACGAAACATTAACTTCCTAATATAATGTTTTCTAAGTTGCAGGAAATATTTCTTAGTTGCCAGACCAAATGATGTATTGTGACCACGATTTATTATCCTTAATTGATCTCGTTTAGTGCTCACTAAGAGTATTTTTGTCATAGTATTACTAGTTCTATGTCAACGTACTGATGTCGTCAATATAATACTGTGCTGACATTATCGTCGGTAAGAATTTTAGTGGGAGAATGAGTTAGAGACGCACTATATAAAACAAAAAATAAGGCATCAATTTAAACTATTTTTTAAGGAACAATGACATAACAAATCGTGCGACTGAAAGAGATCATGCTTCTTCTGAACATAATATTTTGTTTCCTAGCGTCTTGCTTAGCAAAACCGCACTTTTGGACTTGGTGTTGAACGTTTGCGAATGTCGGGAGGTCAATGGATGATGTTCCCACGCTGAAACATACCAAAGTCTTTAAAATGATAGTTGTTATTCCCTGATTCCCCCAAATGAGAGAACTGCTTAACTCAAGGTCAACAATGTGACCAGGTGGGGGAAATTGTCATGGGTGCCTTTGGTATGGTTTTTAAGTGTAATGTTACTCTTTATTCGGCCCCAGATCAATGCTACCACAAGGAAGCGAATACACCAACACCCACCCCAGCACACACGCCCACAATGTACTTTACATATTGCAAGTCCTGTTACCCCTGTCATATGAAAGTGGGTCATGGTAATTCATTTGAACAAACATAATAGCCTTTTCCCACAGGATGCTTCTGGCTAAATATCACACCCTCAGATCCCTTGGTTATTCAGAAGAAGTCGTTTTAACGTTAAAGAATTGACGTCGGACAAACGGCGGAATTCCCAACATGCCATAAGCTCGCTTGGTTCTTTACATTAGATGAGCTTAAATCAATAGGCTATTGAAGATGATTCAGTTTGTGAGATATACATGTATATATATGTCCCATGCAAAGTGGCAAACTGCACACTGACTTACGGAGATATTACAATCTTACAGTCCCTTCCGATAGTACCGATGTGGGTGATAAATGAGGAACCAAACTTAAATAATTTTGCACACATGATCTCTGTCTCCACTTGCACGTACCGGTATTGGCTTGCTCAATTTAACGTAAAGACTCAAGGGAATGTCTAATTTTGACACAGAATGTTTAGTTTAATTGGTGTGTAATTTTTTTTAGCATAGTTCCGTTCTAGAATCCCCTTATCTCAGCTGAAAATTAAACTGTGAGAGTTCTGTGAATACTTTAACTTATAACGCGTACATCAATCATCTCTGCTTTATTTTGATGACATGGTTTAGCAACTCAGAGCACCTCCTGCAAAATCATATTTGGAAGCTAATTTTTCATATCAGGGTAAATTTTAATGAGTTTAACATTCTATCGTAAGTTTGATTAACGGTATACTGCAATCTGACATTAGGATTTGACATAAAATGCCATTTTTAAAAAGAAAATCATACGAAATAAGTTATAGCCAATTTCTGAATTCGACATCTGCTTTGTTGTGCCGAGAGAAAATATAAGATAGAAGGCTCTAATGGCCAACAGGATCGTCATCTCTGTAAAAAAAAAAACACCAATATATATTTGATTACATTCGCCTTTTCAGAAATGAAGTGTTGTAAATTAACTTACTGCTAAAAAGGGGGTACCAATCCTTCGAGGTAGAATGTTTTCGAAAGTATCTGATCGTTTTATAAAATAGTCTGTTTAAATATCGACAGTTCAATAGTTAAATAGTTGGTTAGTAAATAAAATCAAAAGGTCAATATAAAAACAACATAAAAAGTTACAAATTAAAAATCATATTGTTTTTAATATTTTTTTTTATTTTTTTTGCTCTATCTACCATTTATAAACTAAGGTTTATCATATACAATGTATGTACATACATCACAAAATTCTAAAAACAAAAACAAAAACAAAAACGTTTGGTACTCTATGACAGCCAACCATATTTCCACGGTCTTCTTCTGTTCAAGAACTGGGCGGTTAACAACTGGCTGTCGCAAGGTACACCTAAAAATAAATTGGTGTTGGGAATTGGAACTTACGGGAGAGCCTTCACGACAGACTACACGGAAATGGGAGACCCAGTGAAGGGAGCAGCTTCTGCCGGGGCATTCACAAGAGAGGCTGGGTTCCTCTCCTATTACGAGGTAGAGTATACAGGTCCATGATAACCTGGTAAAGTATAAGGGTCGCATACAACCAGGTCAAGTATAGTCAGCGTATTCAGTTTCACTAAAACCGGGTAAAGTATACAGGTCCATTACAACCAGGTATATTATACAGGTCTTTTACAACCAGGTAAAGTATACAGGTCCATTAGAACAAGGTAAAGTATACAGGTCCATTACAACCAGGTAACAGTATACAGGTCTTTTACAACCAGGTAAAGTATTCAGGTCCTTTTCAACCAGGTAAAGTATACAGATCCATTACAACCAGGTAGCGTATACAGGTATTTAAAAACCAGGTAAAGTATACAGGTTCATTACAATAAGGTATATTATACAGGTCCATTATAACCAGGTCAAGTATACACGTCTTTTACAACGTGGTAAAGTATACAGGTCCATTTCAACCAGGTATATTATACAGGTCTTTTGCCACCAGGTAAAGTATTCAGGTCCTTTTCAACTAGGTAAGGTTTACAGGTCCATTACAACCAGGTAAAGTATACAGGTCCATTACAACCAGGTAACGTATACAGGTCTTTTATAACCAGGCGAAGTATACAGGTCCATTACAACCAGGTAAAAGTATACAGGTCTTTTACAACCAGGTCAAGTATTCAGGTCCTTTTCAACCAGGTAAGGTATACAGGTCCATTACAACCAGGTAACGTATACAGGTCCATTACAACCAGGTAAAAGTATACAGGTCTTTTACAACCAGGTAAAGTATTCAGGTCCTTTTCAACCAGGTAAGGTTTACAGATCCATTACAACCAGGTAAAGTATACAGGTCCATTACAACCAGGTAACGTATACAGGTATTTTAAAACCAGGTAAAGTATACAGGTTAATTACAATCATGTATATTATACAGGTCCATTATAACCAGGTCAAGTATACAGGTTTTTTTACAACGTGGTAAAGGATACAGGTCTATTACAACCAGGTATATTATACAGGTTCATTATAACCAGGACAAGTATACAGGTATTTTACAACCAGGTAAAGTATACAGGTCCATTACAACCAGGTAAAGCATACAGTTCCATTACAATCAGGTAAAATATAGGTCCATTACAATAACGTAAAACATACAGGTCCGTTACAACAAGGTAAAACATACAGGTACATTACAACAAGGTAAAGTATACAGGTCCATTACAACCAGGTAAGGTATACAGGTCCATTACAACCAGGTTAAGTATACAGGTCCATTACAACCAGGTAACGTATACAGGTCTTTTATAACCAGGCGAAGTATACAGGTCGATTACAACCAGGTAAAAGTATACAGGTCTTTTACAATCAGGTCAAGTATTCAGGTCCTTTTCAACCAGGTAAGGTATACAGGTCCATTACAACCAGGTAACGTATACAGGTATTTTAAAACCAGGTAAAGTATACAGGTTAATTACAATCATGTATATTATACAGGTCCATTATAACCAGGTCAAGAATACAGGTTTTTTACAACGTGGTAAAGTATACAGGTCTATTACAACCAGGTATATTATACAGGTTCATTATAACCAGGTCAAGTATACAGGTATTTTACAACCAGGTAAAGTATACCGGTCCATTACAACCAGGTAAAGTATACAGGTCCATTACAACAAGTAACGTATACAGGTCTTTTACAACCAGGCGAAGTATACAGGTCCATTACAACCAGGTATATTATACAGGTATTTTACAACCAGGTAAAGTATTCAGGTCATTTTCAGCCAGGTAAGGTATACAGGTCCATTACAACCAGGTAAAGAATATAGGTCCATTACAACCAGGTAACGTATACAGGTATTTTAAAACCAGGTAAAGTATACAGGTTCATTACAATAAGGTATATTATACAGGTCCATTATAACCAGGTCAAGTATACAAGTTTTTTACAACGTGATAAAGTATACAGGTTCATTACAACCAGGTATATTATACAGGTCCATTATAACCAGGTCAAGTATACAGGTATTTTACAACCAGGTAAAGTATACAGGTCCATTACAACCAGGTAAAATATACAGGTCCATTACAACAAGGTAACGTATACAGGTCCATTACAACCATGTAGAGAATACAGGTCCATTACAACCTGGTAACATATTTCAAACCGGTGAAGTATATAGGTACAAAAGTAATTATCTTCATAAAAAATGCAATAGAGACATTTTAGAGAGAATTTTAACCGGTTTTCTCGATTACGGTTTACTGGTCTATTTAACCGTTTACGCCCGTGCCTAACTATTTTGTAATGTTCCAATTCTATTGTGTCCTGATTAACCCTTAGTCGTCAAATTTTGTCCATTTTTGTAGCAACGTTGCCACGTTCACAACAGTATTGAAAATGGACAAGCTTATTGATTTTGTGAAAATATAACTAAAGATCAAATCATATTTATTAAATATACTGAAAAATCACTACTTTTTTCTAAAGCCGATTTGTTTCCATAAATTTCTGCTTAAAGTTAGTTGATCACATCGACAACAATTCTGTCCTTATTTAATGAAATTGTGGTGTGTTAGGCCTAACACGGTCAGTTGTGTAGTGAAAACATACCAAGGTCTGTTATATAGTGTGAGGTCTACCAAGGTCAGTTGTATGGTGTGAGGCCTACAAAGGTCAATTGTGTAGTGTAAGGCCTACAAAGTTTAGTTGTTTAGTGTGAGGCCTACAAATGTCAATTATGTAGTGTGAGGGCTAAAAAGGTCAGTTGTGTAGTGTGAGGCCTACCAAGGTCAGTTGTGGTGTGTTAGCCTAACACGGTCAGTTGTGTAGTGTAAACATACCAAGGTCTGTTATATAGTGTGAGGTCTACCAAGGTCAGTTGTGTAGTGTGAGGCCTACCAAGGTATGTTGTGGTGTGTGAGGCCTAACACGGTCAGTTGTGTAGTGTAAACATACCAATGTCTGTTGTATAGTGTGATGCCTACCAAGGTTAGTTGTGTAGTGTGAGGCCTACCAAGGTCTGTTGTGTGCTGTGAGGCCTATCGAGGTCAGTTGTGGTGTGTGAGGCCTAACATGGTCAGTTGTATTGTGTAAGACCTGCCAAGGTCTGTGGTGTAGTGTGATACCTATCAAGGTCATTTGTATAGTGTGAGAAGTACCGAGGTAAGTTGTATAGTGTAAGGTCAACCAAGGTCAGTATTATAGTGTGAGGTCTACCAAGGTCTGTGGTGTAGTGTAAGGCCTACAAAGGTCAATTGTATAGTATTAGGCCTACCAAGGTCAGTTGTATAGTGTGAAGTCAATCAAGGTCAGTATTATAGTGAGAGGTCTACCAAGATCAGTTGTGTAGTTTGAGGCCTACCCTACCAAGATATGTGGAGTAGTGTTAGGCCTACCAATGTCTGTGGTGTAGTGTGAGGCCTATCAACGTCATTTGTATAGTGTGAGGCATACCAAGGTCAGTTGTATAGCGTTAGGCTTACCATGGTCAGTTATATATTGTTAGGCCTACCAAGGTCAGTTGTGTAGTGTGAGGTCTACCAAGATCAGTTGTGTAGTGTGACGCCTACCAAGGTCAGTTGTGTAGTGTGACGCCTACCAAGATCAGTTGTATATTGTGATACTTACCAAGGTCAGTTGTATAGTGTTAGGCCTACCAAGGTCAGTTGTGTGGTGTGAGGCCCACCAAGGTCAGTTGTGTAGTGTGAGGTCTACCAAGGTCAGTTGTATATTGTGAGGCTTACTGAGGTCAGTTGTATAGTGTTAGGCCTACCAAGGTCAGTTGTGTAGTGTGAGGCCTACCAAGGTCAGTTGTATAGTGTTAGGCCTCCCAAGGTCAGTTGTGTAGTGTCAGGGCTACCAAGGTCAGTTGTGTAGTGTGATGCCTACCAAGGCCAGTTGTGTAGTGTTAGGTCTACCAAGGTCAGGTGTATATTGTGAGGCTTACCAAGGTCAGTTTATAGTGTTAGGCTTAGCAAGGTCAGTTGTGTGGTGTGAGGCCCACCAAGGTCAGCTGTGTAGTGTGAGGTCTACCAAGATCACTACCAAGATCAGTTGTGTATTCTGAGGTCTACCAAGATCAGTTGTGTAGTGCGAGGTCTACCAAGGTCAGTTGTGTAGTGTGAGGTCTACCAAGGCCAGTTGTGTATTGTGAGGTCTACCAAGGTCACTTGTATATTGTGAGGCTTACTGAGGTTAGTTGTATAGTGTTAGGCCTACCAAGGGCAGGTGTGAGGTGTGAGGCCCACCAAGGTCAGTTGTGTAGTGTGAAGTCTACCAAGATCAGTTGTGTATTGTGAGGTCTACCAAGGTCACTTGTGTAGTGTGAGGTCTACCAAGGTCAGTTGTATATTGTGAGGCTTAACAAGGTCAGTTGTATAGTGTTAGGCCTACACAGATCAGTTGTGTAGTGTGAGGTCTACCAAGGTCAGTTGTATATTGTGAGGCTTAACAAGGTCAGTTGTATAGTGTTAGGCCTACACAGATCAGTTGTGTAGTGTGAGGTCTACCAAGGTCAGTTGTATAGTGTTAGGCCTACCAAGGTCAGTTGTATAGTGTTATACCTACCAAGGTCAGTTGTGTAGTGTGAGGTCTACCTAGATCAGTTGAGTAGTGTGACGCCTACCAAGGTCAGTTGTGTAGTGTGACGCCTACCAAGATCAGTTGTGTAGTGTGAGGTCTACCAAGGTCAGTTGGATATTGTGAGGCTTACCAAGGTCAGTTGTGTAGTGTTAGGCCTACCAAGGTCAGTTGTGTGGTGTGAGGCCTACCAAGGTCAGTTGTGTAGTGTGAGGCCTACCAAGGTCAGTTGTGCAGTGTTAGGTCTACCAAGGTCAGTTGTATATTGTGAGGCTTATCAAGGTCAGTTGTATAGTGTTTGGCCTACCAAGGTCAGTTGTGTGGTGTGAGGCCTACCAAGGTCAGTTGTGTAGTGTGAGGCCTACCAAGATCAGTTGTGTAGTGTGAGGTCTACCAAGGCCAGTTGTTTAGTGTTAGGCCTACCTATGTCAGTTGTGTAGTGTCAGGCCTACCAAGGTCAGTTGTGTAGTGTGAGGTCTACCTAGATCAGTTGAGTAGTGTGACGCCTACCAAGGTCAGTTGTGTAGTGTGACGCCTACCAAGATCAGTTGTGTAGTGTGAGGTCTACCAAGGTCAGTTGGATATTGTGAGGCTTACCAAGGTCAGTTGTGTAGTGTTAGGCCTAGCAAGGTCAGTTGTGTGGTGTGAGGCCTACCAAGGTCAGTTGTGTAGTGTGAGGCCTACCAAGATCAGTTGTGTAGTGTGAGGTCTACCAAGGCCAGTTGTTTAGTGTTAGGCCTACCTAGGTCAGTTGTGTAGTGTCAGGCCTACCAAGGTCAGTTGTGTAGTGTGAGGTCTACCTAGATCAGTTGAGTAGTGTGACGCCTACCAAGGTCAGTTGTGTAGTGTGACGCCTACCAAGGTCAGTTGTGTAGTGTCAGGCCTACGAAGATCAGTTGTGTAGTGTGAGGTCTACCAAGATTAGTTGTGTAGTGTGAGGTCTACCAAGGTCAGTTGTGTAGTGTGAGGTCTACCTAGATCAGTTGAGTAGTGTGCCGCCTACCAAGGTCAGTTGTGTAGTGTGACGCCCACCAAGATCAATTGTGTAGTGTGAGGTCTACCAAGATCAGTTGTATATTGTGAGGCTTACCAAGGTCAGTTGTATAGTGTTTGGCCTACCAAGGTCAGTTGTGTAGTGTCAGGCCTACCAAGATCAGTTGTGTAGTGTGAGGTCTACCAAGATCAGTTGTGTAGTGTGACGCCTACCAAGGTCAGTTATGTATTGGGACGCCTTCTAATGTCATTTATATGATATGAGACCATTTACCACGTTAGTCTCTGTTAATGAACTCTCATGTTTTTGATATAGAAACGATGAAAGATAATTCGCGGTAATATGACATTGATGTATTTATGGTTTACTTCGGTAGTCATTGAAAAACGTCTTAATATTAAACCCCAGGCACTCTTTATCCCTCGTTTATAGTGCGAACGATTTGTCTGTACTGGAAACGAGCACAACCTCTTACTCAGATAAAATACCTTCATATAGGACTACTCATGTCTATTCCAAGCGATGTATTTGTTGTAGGTGTGTGACAATATCAGGAACAATAATTGGACGCGGGCGTTTCACCTCGAACATATGGTGCCTTACGCCTTCAATGGGCATCAGTGGGTCGGCTATGATGACGTAGAGAGCGTCAAGATCAAGGTCAGTTATAAAGTCATCAAAGGTTATCTTGTGATCGGTTTTTTTTGTCACTGCTTTGTAATTATTTGTCATACGGTATATACTTACATATATATGTACAGGCAGAAGATTACACCGATTACGTTGTAGCAATGACGTGATGAAATTAACAAATTTTAATAAAACATGTACATAAATAAAATGCTCCATATGACCTTAGACAATTGTTATTAATAAAACACACTTATTGTGCATACAGTGATCACGATATTAAATACAATATATCAGTTTTAATTTATTGTATCCTAAGACATGTTTACCGCAGACTTACGATGGCTTTTTTCGCCCTCCGCAATGAGGAAGAATTTTTCATAACAGCGAACTTTATCAAACAATACAATAAAAATAGTAATCAAATGTGAAGAGCGGAATTAAGACTGGGCGAACATGGTTTTTATCGGCGTAGGGCGAAAGTTACACTGGGCGAAATTTCCTCGGTATACAGTATTTACAGCATTAAGTTAATAGGATAGTTCCTATTGTTACCATATAGTTTAATTACAGTATTGTAAGAATGAATTTCTCTGGAGTTACATAGTTCCTAATGTTACAAAAGAGTTTAATTACAGAATTGTAAGAAGGAATTACAGTATGTATAATCGCATATTCCCTGTTCTTTTGATTAGTTATAGATATTTATATTGAATTCATATGATTCAGAACCGTATGGAATGACGATCATTTTCAAAATGAAACAGGAAAAAAACAGAAAAAACAAGCACAAATCGTTCAAAATAGGTTAATTGTCGGTATCCGATACACCGAACAATATAACACCGCTAATGAAAATAAGTAGTTCAGAAATCTATCTTATATATACGGAGGTGTACTTGGTTAAACCATTCCATGTAGTTCTGTATGACCTTTCTGTTTTGATGGACCAAGGAGATCTAGATACATTACTAAATACGTATTATATCGAAATCATGTCGCTTTATGGTTAAAAGTGCCGCTTCATTGACTTTAAACATTGTTTTAACTAAAACTGCTTTCAGTCCATTACCATTTATCCGTCTGTTTCAATTAATACGATGCTCATTTGTAGACTTCTGACGATGTATAAATATGCTCATAAGAAGCAAATTTTCCCATAGATTTGAAATGTTATTTAAGTTTACAATGATGATGTACATGTATTTATGACATACTTATACTGTTGACTGTATAGTACGCGGTATATCCCGTTGCTCTAGTGACCTAAGGAGCAATACTATATATTTTCTTGTTGTAATCACTTTCGAAAGTTAATTGAGTAATGTTATCTAAGCTTCTATTATAGTGCCCCATATCGACTATATTAGCATGTAGTAGTGTAATTAGACAAAAAAATAAATATTGGTAAGAGTTTTATTGTTTTCAGACGGATTATATCAAAGCTAAGGACCTGGCTGGGTCCATGATCTGGGCTATTGATTTGGATGATTTTGATGGAACATTTTGTGGTCAGGGAAAATATCCCTTGCTAACGGCGATAAAAGATAATCTACCATCAGGTGTAATCCCTGATGTGCCAACACAAATACCAACCCAGACTGCCTCACAAGCATCAACATCTACCAAGGCTCCTTCACTAACAACGCTGGCTACCCAGGCACCTCCAATAACATCAGCGCCTACCCAGGCACCTCCAGTAACATCAGGACCTACCCAGGCACCTCCTCCAGTAACATCAGCGCCTACCCAGGCACCTCCTATACCCTGTGGTAGTTGTGATTTTTACTTGGTGTCTTGTTCAGCTGTCATTCAGAATGGTTTTCTGTTCTTTTATGTTAAAGTCATGTTCAAGTAACGCAGCATATGAATATTTTCGTTTGGTAAAGCAAACCCATTTTTAAATCAATAATCAGAGCTGCCTCCAAATGTATTGACCGCGAAGAACGAGAAATAATGTTGAACTCGTTGTGTTTACATTTTAATGATATTTCCATTTCTATTGTTTTTCTTGATAGATGCACAGATCAGTTGCCCGACTGCACACTATAAGGTTCACCCCTGTAACAGCAACAAGTACATTGTCTGTGATCATAATAGTGCCTTAGAGATGTCCTGTCCAAACGGACTTGTATGGGACGATGGACCACCGACGTGCGTCTTGCCTAGTATTGGTACGATTCAGCTTGGTTTTACAGGCGACGCTACCAAAGACAACGCTCAACACTCTATGTCTTTGTTGTTTTGATGGAATGGTAACATCTGATAACTTTTTGTGTTACTACTGGGTAACAAAAATCTTCAATAAGATTTATTAGTTTGGAAATATGTGATATCGAAGTTTTGCTTTCTACACAGACAATGTACGTATTACACGTGTCGCAACGTTTCAAGACCGACTGGTCCCTTTGTCAAGCTATGATTGAGCGATATTACTGTGTATCATAGTCTAGACCAGTGATCAGATTGTACGTTGGATATTGTTCTCAACAAAAGCCATGCCCATTGAAAAAAAAATGTTTTAATGAAAGTGTATGAAGACCTGCAATAAGATGTTCAATTGTTAATTTTCTATTAAAACTTCTATTTGCAGATCCGGCTCAAATAACAACCCATACACTTGCGTACACATCCACGTCCAATCCAGGAAGCCAACAACTGTGTGGTATGTTATTGCAGATGACAAGGACAATCGGTCCGTGATACTCTTTAATTTGGTTTGATGCTAGGTAGCGTACATTTTTAAAATGACAGGTGGCATCGCCTGATCTTTATATCACCATGAAAATTAACAAGAAAATGAAACTATAAATATGCACATATCATCCAGAATGTCTTATTCAAGCTTTACATCAATCAAAAATCATGTAATTGCCGGTCAAAGTTAAGAACAGTTGTTTCGTTACTTTAACATTGGTTTATATCAGTGTCGTTAAAAGATAAACAGTATTTTGAATACGAAGTTTTTATATTTTTTACCATTCTTCGACACTTCTCGTACAGTTATGTCCTCAAATTTTGTATGTTACAGACATGTTCAGCAATTCAGTCGAAGGATATACACTATAACGTAGTTTTGATTCACGATATCGATATTTCCAAGTTAAATTGGCGACAATATTTATGTTTTGTTTATTACTTTGTTTTAGGAATTAGCCGATTGAAGCAACGCTTTAGAGTTATTTTTAGTTTAATATGGGAAAAATCTACAAATTTTCGTGGTGGTGGTTTTTCAGTTTTGAGAAGCTAAGTCTGGAAAATTACATAATAGAAGCGGACTCTATGTTTGACTTTACAACGGATGTCAAAAAAGAACGCTGCCGAAAATGCATATTTGTACATAGTTACTTCCGTATACCGCAGCCGCTGTTTCATGTAATGCCGTTGACAAACAAACATCACTTTCAATACAGGTGAGCCTAGGAGCTGTCCTTTGGGAAAGTTCATTGAAGACCCTTGTGACCAGGGATGTTACTACCAGTGTGTATTTAACAGAGGAGTAAGGCACTGCTGTCATCCAGGACTTCAGTGGGACACGACCATCAACACATGTAGGTTCTAACTTTACCTGTAGGGCCTACTGTTACACGCAGCCCTACTAGTATGTGCATCTTACATTGTAATAAAGCTAATGCTTCAGTTGACTGTTTCCTGTGTTGGTTTTATTTGTACGGTCAGGGTTTGTACAATATATTTAATTACTGGAACTGCTGTCGTTCCTTCGTACTTGAATAATATAGCTCACATAAACATGATATTGGGAGTGTTTGTACATGAAATTAAAAATTAAAAAAATAACATGATCCAATTTGAGGTGTCAAGGGAGACAACTGAAATGTAAGTTATAGAAAATGAAAACAAAATATGCATTGGTAATCATGTGTACCGTTAGCAGAGGTAAATGAAGTATCCCATGATTCTACATAGCTACAGCAGCTCAACATAAGTTGTTAACTACATATGTAACCCTGTACACCATGGTACTAAGTTTCCTCCGAACGCAGAGGATACGGAAATAACAGGCTCATAGCATATCTAAACATAAGTATGGAAACATATATCGGCTAAATACAAGTCTTATACATTTTAAACAAATAACGTTTACATCACCTAAAAATATTAAAAAAATAATAATTAAATACAATAGTTTAAAATATAAATATTTATCTAAAAATCAAAGTTATGTTCCCGCATATGTTATATCTTTAGTTTGAATAAATTACATTTCTGTCGGATTTCTGCAGATGTAACACCTACGATACGTGTTTAAGGACTTATATCTGTTCAACAAAGCTAACCGGGATACATAAAAACGTTAACGCTTCTATCGCAAAGAAATGGTATGATAGTGGTGAAATAAACTGTTAAAAACTGCTTAATCTTGATATTTTTTCAATCACACTATTCATTATAAAATCTATATTATGAAATGTTCTTATTTAATAATTCAACTGTGACGTTTAAAAAAACACAAGTTAAATTGACATTCCGATAGAATTGGACTATACAGGTACCTTGTTACATTATTGTTAATTGTAATTGTATCTATCAGCTTTGATAAGAACCACACGTGAATGTTTTGTGATCCTTTGAAGACTTTGAAGATGGCACATGCTAACTTTCCTAGAGTAAATCATTTCCTATAGTCCATCCCATTACGTATCAGGATTACAAGGTGTAGTATGATAGTCGACCTACAGGTAATTTCATTTCAGAATAATTTATTGTTCTGTTCTTAAGTACAATCGGAATTGTGCAATAGACATAGCCTATACAAGCCCTCTCCTTACAATATTGAAACTACATTCACATCACGTGTATAGTACATATATATAACAACATTAAATTTTTAACATTTAACAGTAATATTGTATGATGTAGTTGGGAAAGTATATCTATGAATAACAGCTATCTTTAAAAGAAGAGTGTCATAATACCAGTATGCTCGTTTAACACGGACTGGAGGCCAGAGAAGACCAATTTTCCGTGTTCGATTCTGTGTTGGGACCATTCAAGACCGTTTCCCAAATGACAAGGTCATGCAACAATTAAACATACAGTTGAGAATCAGAAGAATCTAATAAAAACGTCTCGTGTCTCCAATGTACCTACAGGCAATTGACACCTTCAATTAGCGACACATGTCACTCAATCTGTATTGAATTTCGTACGTATGTAACAATGGCATACAAATCCTGTAAATTAGCTCATTTCTAGACTCTACAGACACATGAGTTACATTTAGGAAACTCCAGAATATACCGCTGCCAAGTCTTAAAATGATGTTGAATTGAATTTCAACGTAAACTTTTATTAACATCATCATGTCATCTATACAAAACGTGTGTGAAAATCTGCATGTTACTTCAATAACGTGGTTTTAGAAAAACAAGGGTTTGATGTAGTTATAAATGTATTAAGGAAGGGAAACTAGTCTCGACAATATCTATGTAGCTATAAGTAAAACATGGGGTTTTCTTATTTAAAATGAAGCAGCTAGCGTTGCTTTATTGCATGGATTCCACTGACGCTGTATTTGACTAGCATTATACAGGTATGATTCAGCCCACTATGCACCAATGTTGCTTTTAAAGTATATTGTGTCTGACCCTCTAATCGTGACTTGAGTGATACATGTATCGACGACAGTCTTCTTGAGATTTGCTGGATAGTGATACATGATGTATCCTGATAACCAATATAGTACGTAGTACGGGTTTCCTATCAGCGTAGCTACAATCTACTATGGATACATTCCATAGTCCTCATCAGTATCTGACTTTAAAAGTTTTAACTTAATAATAATCTTTTAGATCATTGGAGACCTAAAACTTTCCGTTGTTTGACTGGAGAATTGAAAAAGTTAACGGAGCACCTAGTTTTGGCTGCGTTATTTTTCTTTTCCCTTTATACGTGTGTGCGTTTACAATGTCTTTCGTTTTGTTTCGGTGTCTTTATTCAAATATTTTGTCTTTTTTTATGTCCACTTTGAAATATGACTTTGTCATGATGTCTTGCCATGCTTTTCTTGCTTAATAAACTTATACAGTTACCCATCGTAAGAGTTTGCAATTCATTCTTTTCAGTTTGAATGACTTCTGTTTGAGATTATTTCATATTTGTTCCGTTTGATTAGAGTTTTTCGTACATTATATTTAGACTGCTCCACCTTTGTCGATATGTATTCATGCTGGGTTTTTTTCACTTAAAATCAGTCACACTCTGAGTTCATTCACAACAAGATTCTAATCAATGCAATTAGCAGTTAGACCCTATAGCATATTGACACTCCCGGCGATCTGTTGTCAGACAGTAGACGGAGTGGGACATTAAAAGGCACGGTATGTATCACACAGGACTGTTTATTTGGTGTATATCATTTTCAAGTCAGAGAAGGAAATTGAATGCATTTGCAATTTTTATGGAGCTTTCTAGAGTTTTGCTAAGAAATTGACGCGTTTTTTTTTAATTTAAATTTTTCAATAGTTACTTCTTTAACTATTTGAACTGAATATATGTGTTATCATTTAGAACCAGCATTCTAGGAAACGTGGAGAGAGACTACGGTAGGTACGGAGAATAACAACATACTTTTCATAATATGAACCAATATGTGGTGATAAACCACGTTATCATATTGTACCCGATGGAATGCTGTTATATCAACTAATTGTGTACTGGTTGCAATTGTAATTCTTGGTTTACCTAAATTCATGGGAAAAGTAATTATTGCCTTCAAAATATGAAAAACCACAGTGTATCTGACCGGGTTATATTCATCATATGATCCATCGTGTTCCCTTCTCCGTCTACAGTTACTCTGATAATATTTCAATCTCTAGAAAAAATAATAAGTGGTATAGCTCCTGAGGAGTTCAATTTCGAGTGAATGAATCAGGGGACAATAGTGGCACGTTAGCTTAATCATCTTTACTTTGGTTTGGTTGTTCTATTTTCGTTTTATAAACTATACGTATTGCCCTTGTGGTAGAAATACATGTTATTCAACCATAAGGGCTTTGTGGTGATTTATTTTATTCACACATGAAATTATTTACATTGAAAAGTACCAGTATAAAGCCTGTTTTTCACTTTGTTTTATATTGTAGCATCTCCTCAGATTTCTTTTTTTCTTATTAATATTTAAGTCTTAATTTTGTCCTAGTGCTACATGTTTATATCACCAAATCAATAATCATATCTCTTTATTGAACCAATCGTGCCCTTTGTCTGACTGTCCAATGCACTGATATTGTAACAACTTATTTGAATAATGAGTATATAGCCCACAGGCATACTATATTTTGTACTAATGGTGTTATAAAGCTAGATTCATATCAGTTTATATATAGATACACATATTGAAAACTTGATTGCGCCAGATATTATTTTAAACTTTACAAATTTTGTATTACACCAACAGACGTATGATAATTTAATTATATTATAATATGACGCTTTTCCATTAACTTAAGTTTGCAGTTTGAAGATTTTAAAGTATTACGCTTGAGCAAACTTCTGTCGAAATCCATAAGGCTGACGCGAAATGTATGATTGAATGTTGTTCGTGATTGCGGTTTACCATAACCACAAAAAATTGTATACATGTATAAAGTTAAATGTTTAGGCTTTACAAGATCAGCGCGAACCAAATAATCCAAAATTAATGAAGTTTGATTTCATTCAGTTGCTAGTATTTGTTGTTTTAGAAATATTTTTCCAATTTAATACTGATAATTCATTTACATAATCATTACAGATGGCGTCCATTCGATCTATAACTATTACTGTTCTTCCGGTATTGCTATGGATTGTGGGTAAGTACATATGGTTTCTTCTATTGCAAAGAACGATTTGAAAACATTGAGGCGTCAAACATTGAGATCTAGTTTGTTAGAGACTCGAAATTAGACTGTGTCTCAGTTTGGTATGTATACAGGACCACAAACACAAGATATACACAATGTTGTGTTGGGGGAAACTATCACGGAATTTGAAGAAACATGCGAAAACTACTTTTTTCACATTAATTGATATTTTAAACATGTGTATTTGTTCAACATTTTTCAATAGGACACCTCAGTACTAAGTCTGTCATACCCACAACCAAACATTTGTAGATAGATACGGCAAGTTTAAAATGTCGACGACAACGAGCGCAATCTGTTTAAAATACAGATGTTCATTATACACTACGTCCACGTAGGTGATATATGAACATCTGTATTGTAGTCAAATTGCTACATGTACCAGTGCAGACAAACGGAAAGATATCAATGACTCAGCGCATACAGTAACTCCCATATTCCGTGTAGGTGTGGCCAGTGGAGGGTACGTCCGCGTGTGTTACCACAACATCATGTCCCGGCACCGCCAGTCCGCCGGTAGATTCCAGCCAGAAGACATCAACCCTCATCTCTGTACCCATGTTGTATACGCCTTCGGCGAGATAGACAGCTACGACCTGAATGGAACTGCAATCAGTAACGCAAGCTCACCTGATGATGCTGGTGAGTGATAGGCATGGCTTTGGCATGATTGTAACAGATTATTTCGATTTTGATATTTTAAATAATAAATATTAATTCCAACAGTTAAGACGCATATATATCATGTCGGATCAAGATAACTCGATATATTATGTTTATTCATTCGTTACGTTTTATATGGACGCACATCGTAAAAAGGGTTAAAAAAGGATGGTAAATGTTGTCTCGCCTTTTAAAATCTCATTCATATCCTTGCAAATAAGTATTTTGAAATAAAACATTAAAGCAAGGAGTAGACCTTTCTGTCACTTCCCTGCCATCTGATGTTACAGACATGTTTGAAAGAACAGTATCCCTCAAGAAGCAGAACCCACATTTAAAGGTGCTTCTGGCTGTTGGAGGCTGGCTTAATGGCGTTGCTGAGTTTGTAAAACTTGTTGAAAACGAGGCTAACATGCGCCTGTTTGCAAGTAATGTTATCACGTTCCTACGAGATCGAGGCTTCGATGGTTTCGACTTGGATTGGGAGTATCCTGGTCACCGGGGAAGTCCAGCTGAGGACAAACAACGCTTCACTACCTTGATTCAGGTCAGTGTTCCAATTTTAGCGGTCTTACACTAAGGAAGGTACATTTATACCTGTACACAAAACTCCTAAAGCTCAGCTCAGAAAACAATATCGAAAGTACTGATCCATATTGGGAACGCTGCAGTGCATGGATTAAATGGATATGTTTCTGTGTCATTTTCTTTAGCATTTCAATTTATAAATTTGTATTTGTTGAAGATATAACTGGCCTGTTTATTTTCTGTTTTGTTGTTGTTGTTTTTTAAAGACAAACGACAACACTATCCAAAATAATACAACAATTCCTACAGCTTAAACTGCTTTTGCCCGACACGGGGACATCATTTTTGCATTTTTGAACCTGAACTCCATTGATACTAAGTGACATCCATTCCTGCTTTAGATCCTTCGTGACACATTCGAAGAGGAAGCGACTAGTTCGGGTCTGGAGTGTCTCTTACTGACAGTCGCGGTAGGAGCCAGTCAATGGATCACACAGACCGCGTACGAGGTGGACAAGCTAGCCAGGTACCGGGTATTTCGGGACATGTATATTTGTATCGCTTAATATATATTCTGTGTCAGAAATTGAATAAAAGATATGCTGATTGGTGTTAATACAGATTCGTCTGTCCAAATTTTTGATAGAGAGCTACATCCATTCATTTGTACAAATACACAATTTATTTGTATTATTACACAAGTATGTCTATATATGAACTATTACTAATATATAAATCTCCCCTGTTTTGTACTAGTATAAAGTAGTCGTCCAGATATGTACTTTAACGAGGATTTCTATTCTGCTTTGCACTTATACAAAGAGGTTTTTTTCCTTATCTGTACTGACACAGAATATGCTGTCCTAACTTGTACTCACACAGGGTGGTGTGTCCTGCTTTGTACTAAAATATAAAATAGTCCTTCCTTATGTGTACTTACACGGGTTAATATGTCCTAATTTGTACAAACTCAATGTATATAGATTAGACACGCTTGTTTTGCTGTACACAGCAATCTCTCTTAATTTATTTGTAATACGATGAGTAATTTGTCCTTAATTTTACTACCTTATGATTCGTACCGAAATTACTCTTCAAATGTTAGTGAATATAAAGTAAAATTACTTCTTTTCCAATAAACAGAGTATATCAAGATCTGCATTTATACAGAGTAGTCCAAACTTACAATGCATTTTAACTTATAAAGAGTTGTCCATCCCTAATTTTACTAATAAAGAGTAGTCTCCCCTGATTCATACAAAAACGAGGTAATATTTCATTACTTGTCTTTGTATTTACTCCAGTCTTTCCTTTTAAGTATGTTCTGATTTGCACTTATACAACGTTCCTGTCCTGATTTATTCTTATAAATAGAAGACTCTCATGACTTGTACTATAAAAGCAGTATAGTGTGGCCTCTACTACTTTTTAGAGAAGTCTGTCCTGATTTACACCCCAATTTTACCTCTCCTGGTACATTGTATATTATCATTAACAGACCATTCTCCTGATTTGTACTAAACAGGTTGCGTTTTTTGTTTACGTTCTTATATCTATACACCGCCCATTAGTATTTGCGGGTGTGGTCAGCTATTGTAATTGGTTGGTTTACTAAAACAAATTGATTGGTGTATGATGCAGTATTAAGTACATTATAGTATATAGTACATACTGTTATATATATTGTACATTGTAGTATAGGACAAATAGTGTCTATGTAGTATAAAGTGTATGATATAGCATACTTTATACAATGAAGGATATATAGTTGCAAGATTCATCAAGTCATTGCTATGTAAAAAAAACGATGTTCTTACCCAGAAAGTTTCGCTGATATTCTGCCAGCTTGGTCACTGGTGACGTTAGTTATGTCACCAGTGACCAAGCTGGCAAGCTGGCAAAATAAACTTTACATTCCTGCTAAATAAACCTTTTCAGTAATGAAGAATAAAGTATGTAGTGTAGAATACAATATGTTGTGAGATTGGAAAGAGTTACTTTGTTATATGATGTTTTTACATACACTTTAGGTCAGCAATACTTTTTTAATGTATTTTTAATGTTTTTTAATGTATGATCAAGTCGTGTACCTTTTTTGTTAAAAAGTCGTCAAGATTATGTATTTGTTGATAACGTTGCAGATGATAATTTATTTGTTGGTTAAATATTAGTTGTAATATGTTTGTTGATAAATTAGGTATTGGTAAAGTGACCATCTGTCCTTCATTTCGTAGACATATACGTGTAAAATATGATTAAAATCAGACAGTAAATTAACATATATGACATTGCTACACATCATTCTAGTAGTCTAGTATTGTATTTTATTATTAGGTGATATATGTTTTCGATATTTAAGCAATCTGATAATAAATCAATATACCCAGAGCGTATGTCAAAGACCGTTCTAAATAACTTTAACAATTTCGTCTGTTTACATCAATCTACCGTCACTCTATCCAAAACGGGACACTTTACATTCAAATTTTTATAAATATATTAATGCAATATCGATTCAAAAATGTAAACTTTTCATAAATAGAGACCACTTTTCTTTGCTATAACAAGACGATATTTTCGGCACGTGGTTCTATAAATGAAACGCAAAATACTTTAAGGGTCACATCGGCTCTTGAGTAGGTGTAACTGTACTTTGAAAGGGACACTTTGGTATTTTGGCTTATATTGAAAATAAACGATCATTATAAGCGGAGAGTTACACATAGTTCAAATATTTAAAGGAGTTAAAAAAGGTTCTGATTAAATTTTTCTCCTAATTGATAGAACTAGTTGCTAAAAATGATACACAAAAAATATAGCGTCGCACGACACGAAATGGAGATAGTTATGTTTCATAATTATTTCTAGCTATCAACTGTCCGTTTGCAGCCAATAAAGCCGATATACATTCAAATTAACATAAAGGTATCATGTACTGAAAATTGCAGACATAAAAATGTCTTGGTCCAACTTCCCCCAAGTGTCTCGTTTTTGATAAACTGACGTTATTTGTCTAGTAGTGCCTTTTTCTATTATGGTGTTTCCATTTTCGATTTTTTTCTGTTAACCATGGTCAACCATTATCTGACATTTTTCCTTACGTGGCCACTCATTGTTACAACATGTCCTAACCATGCTGTTAAACATGATCAAACACTGGGTCATGCTGATTATGCTTTGGACATTAACCACATGTACAGTTTACTAAATTCAGTCGTTTGTCTGGTTGATTTGGTATTTCAGTCCCTTGCCCTCTATCCTTGAAATTTGGATTTTCTTTTGAATCTCCCATGACGGGGAATCTGAATGACTATATCCTTTGTGTTCAATATCTCTACGTTTCTGTTCTAACAGTAATTTGGACTACATTTTTCTGATGTCATATGATTTACATGGACCTTGGGACGGTCGCCTCGGACACCATAGTCCATTATACAAACGAACCGGGGAGTCACCGTCGGATAGTCGCCTTAACCAGGTCAGTTCTGCTACAGGATGTCCCATCTACATCTAAGAATGTCGTCTTTTGGAACTTTTGACGGCTCTAGAAAGTTTGCCTTTTTGGATACTGAACTTTGTTGGTAGCTGTGGAAAATGTTGTCTTTTGAACTGTTTGTTGAAGGATCCAGACTTTTTGTTTCGACTTTTTGGCCGTTCGTAGATGGCTGTAGTAATGTTTTGTCTTTTTGGCCGTTTATAGATGACTGTCGTATTGTTTTGTCTTTTTGGCCGTTTATAGATGACTGTCGTAATGTTTTGTCTTTTTGGCCGTTTATAGATGGCTGTAGTCATGTTTTGGTTTTTTGGCCGTTCGTAGATGGCTGTAGTAATGTTTTGCTTTTTTGGCCGTTCGTAGATGGCTGTCGTCTTGTTTTGTCTGTTTGGCCGTTCGTAGATGGCTGTCGTAATGTTTTCTTAGGGACTGTTTGTTGAGGTTCTCCAAGAAGGTCTTTTGGCCTGCAGATGGTTGTAGAAATGTATTCTATGGAACTGTTCGATGAAGGGTCTAGACTTTAGTCATTAGGACCGTTTTTACATGACTGTCGGAATGGTTTCTTTGGGACTGTTTGTTGATTGCTATAGAAATATTGCCTTTTTGACTGTTAATTGCTTTTAAATGCTGTTTTAGGGACTGTTTTTTTTTAATGTTGACTTGATGTCACTTTGTTGATGATTCCAGGAATTTTACACTTATGATTGATTTTTACTGGATCTTGATATGCAGTATAAGCTTCAACATTAACATTGATGTTGTGATCTTGCTTTCAGGATTGGGCGGTACACAACTGGCTGTCACTGGGTGCCCCTCGTGACAAGTTGGTGATGGGTATTGGTCTGTACGGACGAACCTTCACCACGTGGTGGCCTTCTAACCAGCCCAAGAAGCTAGGGATGGGATCAAAAAGTGGCGGCGAAGCTGGGTTATACACCAATGAAACGGGCGTCCTAGCGTATTATGAGGTGAAATAAATTAGAAATCAGATCATCATTGTTTCAATTTCATTGTGTAACCCTGGTAAATACTAGCCGCAATATATCGCTCGGCTCGAAAGAACTTCTCTTTAGCTCGATCTGTTGAGCGTAGGACTAGTAAGCCAGAGGTCCCGGGTTCGATCCCTAGCGGAGACATTGATTTATATTTAATTAATCATGCGATCTATTACATTGGCGCCCACGTAGGGACCCGGGAAAAATACTCGGCCTTGCTCCACAATCATCGCTGTTAACCCTGAAAAACTCGAGGATGAGTTCTTTCCTGGAAGGGGAGTATGTAACCCTGGTAAATACTACCAGCAATATATCGCTCGGTTAGAAAGAACTTCTCTTTAGCTCGATCGGTTGGGCGTAAGACTAGTAAGCCAGAGGTCCCGGGTTCGATCCCTAGCGGAGGAAGTGATTTATATTTAATTAATCATGCTCTCTGTAACAATTACACTGTTCAAATGATGAAAGTATATTTTATATATCTTTTTACTGTTAAGATAGTTTATTGGATGCTGTGTACAGCGTTCATAGCGGTTCTCGCCAAGCCTGGGCAAATCAAAACCAAACAACAGACTTTCTTCTTCCGCGGAAGATCTTTAAATGCTGTGTTGATTATTTCATGGTATGATTAATGCTATAAAATGATGAAATACATATGAAAACGATCAATAAATCAAAGAAAAATGTAAAAATTTTACGAAAAGGCGAGTTTTTTAGTGAGCGTCATGAACTATATCAATCTCAGATTACTACGCTTTTTGGACCGAATACTTTCTTCACAACACTATCTCCTTCCTCGAAAGATCTTAAGATAATGTGTGTTCATTATTTCATGATATGATCTATGCGATACTATGGTACAATATATCTGTATAAGTCACAAAAAATAAAGAACATATGTAAAGATCTTTAACAGTGGCGTTTTTAATCAGTGAAAGTTCCGAACTATATTTGGTTCAAATTACTACGCCTCGTATTCTAATACTCTGAAGTGAGTGTATAAGAGTTTCCTCCCCTTGTCAATCATTGCGAGGTTTCATGCTCGCGACTTGTTGAACGATTGTTTGATAACTGTCCTTGATAAAGTAGGCTTCGTGTTTTCTTTGTCCCAATGGAAAGTCTCCAAGTGAAAGAGAATGTTGACTTATACTAAAGTAACCGTCAGTAGCTGTGCCTAACGAGTTTATTGATAGCTTCCTAATGCGACAATAGCTGTGCCTTACGAGTTTGTAGATAGCTTCCCAATACAGTGCTTCGTGAATATAGCATATTGAACATCAAAAATTAAAACCGTATATACATATTATTCACATAACCAGAAACTGAATATTTATATAGGCCTTTAACCTTCGTTACAATATCGAGAGAAGGAGAGATACACAAGGGCATTGCATAAGTCCGTGATTACACGCACTGGAAATAATACAATCTCGTTTTAGTTTTTTGTATAATTAATCATGATAATAACAAATTGTAATATTAATATCATAATCATTTATTTATATTATCTATATAACATTTTTTCAATATATATTTAATTCCTCAGCAGCAGATTTCCATGTGTATATGTACATAAACCTTACTGAGGTATGCATATTTACATATAAAGTAAACATAATGGAGGTTGCCAGGGTTGAGGGGCCCTGGGTTCAACTCCTGAACAATAACATTGTCCTCACGCAGGAGGTCTTTCTCACGCCATACACCTTTTATCCATTTAATATGTCAATTTATTATACATATATATTTATATGTTCCTATTGTGAAAGAAAAGGAGACACATTCAATATCAAAACAAATTGTAATATCACTGATAGTAATTATATACATAGTATTTAATAATATCTAAAATAATCCGCATTCGCTCTACACATATACTCACCCATGTTGTGTTATAAATAATTATTACCTATTAACCTAATCTTTAACAAGTTGTGATATTATATTACTTGCAATGTACGTATTTAAGTTCATGTGTAAGTTTCGTCTAACAGGTATTATATCTCACTCACAAATGTACATATATTTAAATCGTAAATCTTATTATTTAATAACCATTAATCATCATGATTTAAGCATATTGTATATAGCGTATACATTCACATTTAAAACGACAAGGAAATGAATAAAAGTGAATAATAAAAATAAATGATTCAATCCGGAAACTAAAAGGTGCCGTGTTTACGTTTGTTTTTATCTTTATACTGTAAAATCATGGCGGTGTCTACATGTGTTCGGAATTTATTTATTTCTCTATTTAATCGTAAATTTTAACTTTCCCATACTACTACGGAACAATTTTGGTTTGCAGGGTTGTCTGGTCAAGGTCACTGTTACTATTTTTAAAAAGATCATATCTGCGCTGTAGCAGTTTCATTCCTTGAAGGATTTCCATCGATTTCAAAACACTAATTAAGGACCATAATATCAGACAAGTTTCAATTGTTTTAGCAATACTCTGCTTGTTATGTATATTTTTATTGTAAATTGTGATTAAGGGATGGGCTATTATGACACTTACTCAACAGCATGTTCTTTATTATTTACTGCCATTCTGTACTGATATAGCACCTCCTTTATTCCATTATTTGAATCCTTCATATACAGCATCCCTGAGTGCCCTCGGTACTTTGATTATAGTCAAGGGTATACTTATTACGTCAAATGCGAGAGAAAATATCAGATATTAACAATAAAGAATGTTTATGTTGTGTCAGAAAGATAATATGGTGACAGTAAATGTTATTTTACTTTTTCAAATAGTTTTTGTTAACAAATAATTAGTAATTGTATTGACATAACAGGTGTGTGATAATATCCGGAACAAAGGTTGGACCGTGGCGCGTCACCCCGAACATATGGTGCCATATGCGTACAGCGATGACCAGTTTGTCGGCTACGATGACGTGGAAAGCGTAAGAGTCAAGGTAAGATAGGAAATATTTTCTTGTGCTTCCTTAAAAAACAGGAACAGGACATCAGCTACGTATATTGTCAATGTAATGGTTAATTTAATATTACTTCATTTAAATTGTAACTAAACCGACTGAAAACCATGATTAATTCGCAATAAAACAACGAGGTCTGTATACTAGTAACATAATCGTCTGATAACGACGTACTTATATTTATAGCCAACACAAGTCTGTGTTACATAAAAGTAACACATGTTGATTGAGACCTGATAATTGAACGGTTGCATTATGAAATTACCTAGCCTATTATTACGAAGAAAAAACTGACGATTTTACTGTTAAAAGGTTCATGTAGATATTGACGAGCTCCATCATAAGTGTATTAATCCAGTTTTTTGTGTATAACAGAGTGAGTATATAAAGACACAGGGCCTCGCAGGAGCCATGGTTTGGTGTTTCGACTTGGATGATTTTAGCGGCCAATTTTGCAACCAAGGTCCTTACCCTCTTCTCCAGAAGATCAATGATGTTTTGCGATCAGGTCAACGTACACAGACAGCACCTGTGCGAACACCTACTCCAAAAATAGCCTCGACGCCAGCACCTACTCCAAAAATAGCCTCGACGCCAGCACCTACACCAAAAATAGCCTCGACACCAGCACCTACTCCAAAAATAGCCTCGACGCAAGCACCTACACCAAAAATAGCCTCGACACCAGCACCTACACCAAAAGTAACGTCGGCGCCAGTACCTTCTCCTAAAAGAACATCAGTTCCTACCGTTGGTCCGAGTACATCTTGTGGTAAGGACTGCATTACAAGTAAAATATGTTATTCAAATAGTCAAAAATCTTAATATGTAATGTAAGATTTGAAAATGTGATATCATTCATGCGTTTGATATTTATTTGTATTTCAGTAGATGAACCAAGTAGCTGTCCACATGGGACCTTCTTAGTGGACCCATGTGACCAAGCATGTTACTACCAGTGTGCGCATGATACTGCCCATCACCGATGCTGTATTTCCGGCTTGCACTGGGACACGTCCTTGAACACTTGTGTTTTCGCAGTGTAACCGTTCTCCTACTTGCTTTACAGGGTAAATCTTACTATGATAAAGAATATACAACAACTGTGTTACTTAAAATGTATAGTAGCCACCCTAATTTCATCAATACGAAATAGTTAATGCTGTGCTTTAACATAAACGACAATATGTACATTGTATATGACCATGAACGTCTTATCTCATTTTGTCCTTTTGAAAAAATGATTGCACTGTTATACCAATTATGAAAATATGTTTTCCTGTGCAGTGAGCATGACAACGAAGCGACAAGCTCCTTTTCTGAGCAACTATACGCACAACAACCAACCAACGAGCCTTACCTGTGTAAAAACGTGGTGTGGTGTACTGGCAGCATATTCAAAACTATTTTAAACATGACGTATTGTGTTGTGCGGTGAAAAATTTATTGTAATATTGTATTGTCACGTTGTTTGACGTAATTTTCATTGAGACATGAGTGACTTTTCTGTTTTGTTTTTGCCCTGTCCGCGATAGTAAAGAGAGAAAAGCATTAGTATATACATTACATAGCGACATAGTATAAGGGGAGATAACCGTATACTGTAGCTGACACAATTAAGTATTAGGAGAAAAATATATTGACGGAAAAAAAAGTAACGTAACTTGTTTGTGGTAAATTCCAGTGCTATTCAATACCACATTTGTTCTCCGCGGGCCGAAATCACTGCCCGTACCCTCCTCACCATAGATCTCATCAGCCTTTTAATTCTTTGAACTGGAATATTGTTCCATTCGCTAGAAGTGCATGCGTAAGGTGGGCGACGTTGCTTTGTTCGTTGGCACGTTTTCCAAACAGCCTGTTCAGTTTGCCCCACAAGTGTTCAATGGGGGACAAATCTGGACTGCATGGTGGCCAATCAAGTACTGGGACGTTGTTTTGGATTAGAAAACGACGACACATCCTTGAAACACGTGGCCTCGTATTGTCCTGCTGAAAGGTTAGCTTCTGCTAAGAGATAAGATGAATAACGGTGGGCTTGATGGTTTTATCCCGGTATATAACGGCTGTGAGTGTAAAATTGCCCGGGTGACAACTAAAAGGCGCTTAATACCATACGAAATGCCCTCCACCACTCCCAACAACCCCTCCCCCTTCAACCAAAACAGATCCTCCTCAAAATCTGTTAGCGTATCGTTCACTGTGTTGGGATACACGTTGCCGCCCATCTGTATAATGTAAATAAAGATATAACGTACTCTGTCCACTCATTACTTGTGTTGGTGGCGAAACACACATGAATAGTATAGAAACTTTTGATGTACATGCATGTACCCACTGTTGCACGGTTTTCTACATTCGTGTTATATTTTTTGTTGAAATTACATGTAATAAGTTTTATAAAGACCTTTTATCTGATGTATGTTTTAAACAATGCCAATGGCACACAGCTATTTCAGTCTGATTATCATATATTTGGGTGGTTTTTTTCAATATATTTTGAAAAACGTAGTATAGGAACGAAACGGCAGTTGCCTCCCTTCCCTTGTCATATGTAATATGTTGGTACATGTACGTCAAACAGTCTGTGATCAACGTCAGTGGGACAGGACGAACCACGACAGAGATACAAAACGTGAAAACGTTGTACAATAAAAAATGAGCCTCGATATCGCAACAGTGTTCAACAGTTTGTATCAATTAAGTTTGAAAACTCGAGATCATAGCCACAACTATTTATTTTAAAAACTGAAATTCATCTTTTTATCATTTCTGATTGTGTGCAACATAGTTATGTTCAAACATATTCCATGATACGTAGCATCTTAAAGGATATGTTTGAAATGAACCATGTTGCATACCATCAGAAATGTTGAAAGAAAACATTTCAGTGCTTAAATGTATGTTCGAAACAGCAAAAACAGCATTGTTTTATCGCTTTTTGTAAAACTAACTGTTCCCTCCTTGTGGTAGTCTTTGTAAACCAAGCTTTTTTGCTTGTTTAACAAATTGGAACAGTCATTTTCGCGGGAAGAAGATCGTGCTTTCTATGGTTTCCAGTTCCGTAAGGCATCTTCTATAAAGTGAATTGAATCACGTCATAATTTGTCTCCAAACTCCCAAAGACCCGAACAGTTTCCGATTGTTATATATTAACGTGTAATGCTTGCTGCTATTATAGGTTTATAACATTACTTTTGTTGGCAGGTTTATCTAAGGACTGTAATGTACATATTGTCCATGGAATTCGACTTTCATTTCGACTGTTGCATGGTTCTACATCCGGATACGTAAACCACAGGCAGGCTAATCTCGCCCAATCAGAAATAACTGTACTTGGATGACACCACGTAAATATCCATTGTATAAAGATAGAATATACAAATGTACAGGACATACGTTCTTTTAAAATCCTATTTTGTGCTGACGCCAGTAACTAAAGGTACTTTTACATTCAGTTTTTCCTCAAAATTTGCAAAATTGTTAATCAAGGGCAGAATATTTTTTAGTCATAGATCAGTACTTACTAACATAAACATTATGTTACACTGTTTGCCAATATCGAGGTGTTAATTATAAATGCTATATATCTACCTTAGCCTTGTGGTAAACATTGGTTTTAACTGTACTACTATACTAATAATCTCAGTCCTGTATTAACCACAAAAATGTTACATTCGTAGATTATAAATCCTTATCTAATCCTTGTATTAAACTAAACGAATGTCAGTATATTACATTTTTGCGGGAACAAGATCTATCTATGGTTACCAGTTCAACGACATTCAAATTAAACAATATGAATGTCAGATCATAGCAGTCCTAGGCACTTTGTCTCAGTCCTGTATCAAACTAGTTGAATACCAGGAAACCTAAATAACACATAACCCTTTCTTATTTCAGTCTTGTATTAAACGATATGAATGTGAGAATTCTACAGTCATAAGTAATATATTCCTACTTCAGCCTCGTACTTAAATAAATGATTTAAAGTGTTCAACAAAGGCAGTTTGCTGGTGCTTTTAGAGAAAGCGTTCAGGGAAATCTACGGGTTGTGGAAAATTGTGTCCTGCTATAGACGAATATCGCAACACTACATGCAATTGCAGATAATACTCCTAATTTCAGGTTTATGTAAACATTGGACCAACATCCTTATATCACATCTTTTTGTAAATGTGTAGACAAATGTTGTCAAGACCTGCCAATCATAGAGAAGACGTCCTAGACGACAAATGGCAGAGTGCTACTAGGATAGTCCTGGAATATAATCTCTATATCTTTGTAAAATTATTGACGAATGTTGTCAAGATTTGTCAATCCTGAAAACGTCCTAACCCTCAACCGTTGCTTTAAAAGTCGACGGATTTCAGAGTAGCACAGCTATCGACAATACGTCTCTGTATGAACATTTTGCTCAAATGTTTGATTAAAGTCAAGTACTACAGCCATGTAATATATGTTTCCATCCCAAATATGTTACATTGTGTTACATCATAATCAAATAAAATACATACCTTCCTCAACAGTGTGTATCCATGGCAGAGTACGACAGTCGTGTAGTATGCCTCTTAAGATGGACACTATATATAATAAACTTACTGATGAGCAACGTCAAGCTACAGCAATAACATAAATACCTTCCTTCCTCACCCTTGTGTGTAGGTGTTGGCGTGACAATACATATTGCACAACAGTGCCTAAGTTAGCCTTGTATTAAACTGTTGACCGATGTGGGAGTACCACATCAGCACTAAATGCATTTAAATACCTATCCCAGCCCTCATTTGAGACAAAACAACGATTTAATCAACTTTAAAATTATTATGTTTCAAAAATAAGTTGGGCACATTTGAACAAATGTCAATCTTTGAATCCTAAATCTGTTTCTTGTCAACCAATGGCCTTCCCCAAATAAGCTCTCTCTCTTGCCTTTCATCTGCCCTTTTCCTCTTTAATATTCCATTCCTATTTTTATTCTTTTTACGCTTATTGATCGAAACCTTCTTTTGTTCTTGCATGCACCCAGTGATAATCTTAGCATAAAGGACTATCCGAAACTCAGCAAAAGAAAATACATGTAAAAGACAACAGTTATGTGAATAATGTTCTTATAATTGGCATAAAACATAAGCCGTGCTTATATCGTTATAGAATATCTTAATTATAAAAAAGCACCTTGTAAAATGCACCTTGCACCTCTAAATGTGAGCTGTAACTTAAGACAAAAAAAAACCACTCCTAATTCAACATTAACAATCTCTAGCAAAACACCTTTTCTCGTGTGTATGCTTATCTTGAACTAGGATAAGTCGAACTGGAATAAGTCGAACTAGGATAAGTCGAATATCTGTCTTAACTGGAGCATTTTTTTCTCCTTACAAACTCGAACATCTAGATATCTTGAAAATTAATCCTTGTTCCAACTAGCTTTAGTAAAGTATTGTTATTAATTGAAGTTTTAATTTGCCTTACCGAGATCATTAATATTGTTTGTGTTAGCGGTAAGCTACATTTGTACGTTATATTGGTGTATTTACTGTGTCAACGGCCAGGATTGTAGTAACATACTCACAGGGTGCTTGAGACGTTTTCTATTTAGAAGTGAACTATACTCATCTGGAAAATATATTAGAATTTTAAAGATTGCTTGTACCTCCTACCTCGAAAACACAAGACGTGGATTACCGGAAGGACATATACACATGTAATAAACTCGATTGTTGTTTGATTGATAGCGTTGATCATTTTAATATCGCTTATACACTTTGAAAAGCTGTGTATTAGGGGGATTACGCCACCCGTGATACCGCTGTTGTGGCCAGTCCTTCAAATATATCGCCTCACGCGGCGGGAGATATGACTGTTATGTATCGCCTCGCGCGGCGGGAGATATGACTGTTAGGGGCAGTACTTCACATAGCTAGCTCATGTAGCAGTTGGATATGGATGTCATGGGCAATCATTACAAAAGACCGCCTCGCAGCACCGGGATATATGGTAGTCTGACCCAATACTGTTAGCGTCACGTGGTGGGAAATTCAAGTGTTATTTGCGGTCATCCTTATTCCTTGTTTTTGTTAGTAGTTTCATATCTTTCACGCAGCTCAATAGAAATCGATTCCATCTGATGTAGTCACTAATATCAACACGATATCAATCCTTCGCGAACTTTATCTAGCAAGATATAAGCTATAGATGCTATGAACAGTCCTTTGGATTATATATATGGCTATCTGAGTCCGCATTCCCGGAAGACGCCTCGCACAGCAATAATTATGTGCGTGTAGTACAGGATGTCCTTTAACAAGTATACAGAAACCTTTAGGCATTAGATAGGGATATAGCAAGTTTCTGGTTCTCCGAGACCAGAGCTATTTCCCTACTATTCACTGACTTGTCTCCCGTTCTACCTGTTCAATATTTCTCTTTCACCTTCAAGGTTACATTTACACCCTTATCCCTAGCGTATAACAGATAGCAGGGTGACGTGACACAATATCGCAAGGAGGGAATAAGTAATACAACCATATATCATACCATAATAATCTACTTCAACGTAAGAAAACATGTACAAATCAGGAACGAAAACCGATTACCTTTGCTGATATTCACTGTTTTGCAGCGAGATAGGATAGGAGAAAAAACACCCCTCTCGGTGAGAGCCCAAGAGAAATCTCAACCCTCGAGATGAGCTTATTGATCGTCTAGTTGTCTGCTTGAAAAAAGCTCAAGGTAGGAAATCAAGAATATAAATATACATATATATATATATAAAATAAACTTACNGGACATTTAATCACTTTTTATTATATATATATATATATATATAGAAAAAGCCTTTGTTATATCATCAAGGTAAAGCAATATTCAATTAATCATTCTCATTCTCATTCTCAGCAGCAACGCATATATCATCTTAATATATATAAATGTATGATGGCCTGCATACAAACGTGGACCTGAAAATAGCATTAACACTTATATGTCAAAAGCAAAATGAAATTCATATTGAAGGACTTCCGGTTGGTGTCCTGATAAGACTTGCTGCGGTTAAGCTCATGACAATTTATGTGATTCTCATGCCGTATCTGGCGTGGCTGTCATACCGTTGTTTGAACAGTTGGTATAATTTATCCTACCATTTGCATTTTTGAGAGTGTTATTCGATCATATCAGAGTAATTGATTTGAATTACAAACCTCAGAATTCATAAATTTGTATGTTTGGGTGAGGCTGTTTTCATATTTTATTGCTAGATCAAACTAACAACAATTTGAACTAAACAAAGATGGTATTAAGGTTTGCCCTTTCGCCCATTCGCGCAAACACTTTCGTCCATTTGTTTGCAAATATCCCGTTTGGTATTATATCATAATATTAATTAGCTAAGTATATTTTTATCACAACTGGATTTTTATATCAATGTGTAATACAATAGTGATTACACTTTTGGTATTTGAGTATATTTGAACATCTAGAACTTTGATACGACATCATCTATGTGTTTTGCATTGTCATATTGACTATAGCAGTGCCACGCTTTGTTATTTATCTGATAAACTAAGCTGCAGCCGTCTGCAGTGCTCTAGAACACCATACCACAAAATCA